CTGCTGAGTGCAGCTCATTCACGGCCACCATGCCCAGCTCTGTGGAACATGAGATAAACAGGACAGGGGACAGGGCCCACGCTGTCTGAGGACAGCAGCTGGCTGTCCGAGCAGGAACCCAGCCTGGCTCTGCCGCAGTCCCTCTCATGTCCAAATCAGGCTTTCCAGCAGTGACAGCTGACACCCATGCTTATGTGCGTGGTACTGGAGATCAGGTCCCCTGTAGCACTGAGCAACACCCCAGCCCCGTTATTTTGGGGGGAAGGTTGGAATGTTTGCGTTTTTTGGGCATGGCAGGGGTGGTCTGTGCATCACACTTGTGTGGACATGCATGTGAGGCAGGGTCACACTAAGTTACCAAGGCTGGCCTTGAACCTTCAGTCCTCCCACCCCAGCCTTCTGAATGGTTGGGACTATAGAACTGCACCGCCACAACTGGTCTGATCCCTGGGTTCTTATTTTTTATTTATTGACTTTGTTTTCAGTACTGGTGATTCGAACCCAGGGCCTTCACACTGAGCCACATCCCCAGCCTGTTTTTGTTTTTCACTTTGAGACAGGCTCTTGCTAAGTTATTTGCGATACTCCTGCCTCAGCCCCCAGGATACACAGGGTGATACACAGCCTGACCCTCGTTTTTTGTACACGCTGTTGACCCACAGCAGAAATTCATGCCATAGTCCCCCTCCCTGTGCCTGCTCCCATGGGGCTGGAGTCCTGCTGCCCTGTTAGGGTCATTTCTGCCCCATCTTGGCTGGAGGCACACGGCTGCCCTGTGGGACATGCTGCACTGCAGGTGCCAGCCTCACCTGGGCCCGTGCACTGGGGATAGAGGGGCCTGGGCTGGACGCTTCCTGCTGAGTCCTCCTGCTCTCCCCAGCCTGGCTGGAGATGCTGTGGGCCAGAGCAGGAACCAGCGCAGGCCCCTCTCTGCTTCCTGACTTGCGTTCAGGAGTGGCTTGATCTAGGGAGCGTGCCACCCACCTGGTCCACCCCGTCTGCTGAGTCACCTGGGAGCACTGCCCTCTCGGCCTAGGCTTCCTTGTCTGTGCGGGATGCGGGGAGAGCAGATGTTCCAGGGCCACACGGTGCCCACCATCCCCCCCCATCTGCACCCACACCCCAGAGTCTTCTAGAGCCCACCAGCCCGGCTCCTCCCTCCTTTTTCTTTCCTTTTCTGTGACTTTTATCAAAGGCAAACAGCACGATGCCCGAGATAGGGCCGCTCCCCAGCTGGCCTGTGGGAGCCGCAGGGTGGGGCCGGGCGGGAGTGATGGGCGATTAGATTAGTGGGGCTGTGGTGGCGGGGTGGGCGCCCACAGCGACCGCGGAGGCCACCGTTTGTCCGGCGGGGGCTGCGGGCCGCTGGACTTTGTGCTCAAGAGGCCGCAGCCATCGGCAGACAGGGTTGGCCCTCAGGCAGGCTGGTGGCAGGAGCAAGGGCCCAAGGGAGCCCCACTCCGGTCCCGCAGCCTTCCTGCCTCAGCTTGGGAAAACAGGCTGCAGGCACCCAGGCCCTCCATGTGGTCTGGGCAGAGTGGCTGCACACAGGCTGTGTGACCTCCGGCCACTTACGTAAGCTTTCCGGGCCCCATCTTGGGTATGTAACAGGGGACAACCCCAGGCCAGGTCCAGAGTTGCTGCACAGAAGGGACCCTCGGGGAGAAAGAGCATCGGGCCCGGATCTGACCACCACTGTGAGCCCAACATGGGGGAAACTGAGGCTGGTGGCACCCAGGCCCCTGTCCTCTGCCCAGGGCTGCCCCACCCCAGGGATGCTGTCAGACCTCCGAGTCCTGAGGGGACATCTCACACAGTCTGCAAAGGCCAGAACTTCCCATTTGGTTCTCCGAGGGTAGGGGTCGGGGGCACTGAGTCCCAGGGCACACTTGCTCTGGAGATAATGTGTGTGACGGTGAGTCGGTCAGTCCTGCCCCGGGCCAGGCCTGCACAGCAGCCTGACCCACCGAACACCCCAGCCAGCCAGCAGGGGAGAAACTGCAGAGGGGAAACAGCCCGGGTGGCCCGGGTCGCTACAGACAGGCCAACCTGGAAAAGGGTGCCCACCTGCCCACCATGCACCCTTGGGCAGGGTGCTTAACCTCTGAGCCTCCACCTCCCCTGGGCACATCAGTAAGAGTCCTAGTGAGTCCCACCAGCATGTGGCTAAGGCATCAGGATGGTGAGTTCCTGGGTACAGAGCCCTTGTCCCACGTCCAGTGGGATGAACAAGTGGTCAGGACCTGGCTGCCGCTGAAGGGCACCTCGTCTAGGAAGCCCGCCCAGTAGCCCACCGTGGGGTCCTCCTGTGCCCCACCTTCATTTCCCAGGAACGCCAAGGAGAAGTGAGCCCTGAGTGGGTAGTGCACAGCCGAGCTATGGTCACCGTCCTGTGTGGTCACTGCTTGGCTTCCTACACCAGGAGTCCTGTGGGTGGGGCTGGCATCCCCATGGCTGTCTGTCCCTGCCCTATGGGCCTTACGTCTTGCCCTCCTCCCTGGCACTTCTCCACCCACTCACCCATGCCCAAAGCTCCTGAGCCACGTGCATGCCAGAGCTGGACAGCCTCTTCCTGCCCCGTCTCAGTACAGTTCTGCCTCCTGCTGGGGCCACGCTGTGCCGGCTGCTGGCTGGGCTCCAACCCCTGCTTGTTCCTATGTGTGCCAAATGAGGGTTCACAGCAGGCACAGGAGCTGGAAGGACGCGGCATGATCAAAACATGCAATGAACGTGTGGTTCAAGAACATAGTGCAATGAAAGACAGGTTGCCATGGAGCTCCCTTAAAACCACCCCTCAACACGCTCACCCTATAGTCCTAGCTGCTCTGCAGCCGCTCTGGAGCCCCCTTTCCTGAGGGTCTTTAGCTGAGTGGTCCAGACTGCCTCAATGTCCTCAATCGATCCAAGTTTCCCTTTTGTGTCATTTTGACTTCGGTGGAGAGCCGCAAGCTGCACAGTGCCCAACCCGTGAGTGAGGTGGTTGGAGACACACCAAGCCTCATGGTTTAAGGATCTGCCTTCCCATCGGATGGCAGTGGGCCGGGGCATTCACTTTATTTTTTATCACATTTTCACAGAAGAGGATTTCCAAAATCATAAGTGTTTTCAAAGCAAGGGGGAGGATTTTGAGGAAGATTCATGGCAATGTGTCTTTCACCATAACACATCTTTTTATCTAAACACACAGCATGTTTTGGATCAGTCCTTAGGTTATTTGGGCAGATGGTGCTAACGTCATCAAGCCTGCTGTGGACAGTTGCATAGGTTGTCCCTGCACAAGGCACTGGGTAAGGCTGAGATCACGTGTGCTCCCCTGTTAACCCAGGCCCCCACCATGGCCCTGCACCCTCCCACAGGAGGTGACCTGGGCCAGAGAAGTGGGTTGTCATAGTGACCATTTACTATCTCCATCCCCACACCCTGTCTCCTTGAAACTCCACCCCCAGCTTTCCCAGCTTGCCCTGCCCCCAGCCAGCCCTTGTGGTAGGCTCGGCCCTCAGCATGCAGAAGCAGGAGCCGCCTCATCCGGAGCTGCCCACTGCACCAGAAGACGTGGGAAGTGTCCAGCAGGCTCCTATCTGGGGGCTGAGCCCAGCCAGGGCTCCGATGAGTGTGTGGGGCAGTTTGCCTGTGGGTTCCTCCTTCCACACGAGGGGCCTAGACACCCACAGGTGTGACAGGGTGGATGTGAGCACCACGACAATGGTGTTGGGACTGCCCTGACTGGCCCTATTCACAGGCCGTCGGGAGGAGGTGTGGGAGAAGGTGCAGGGTCCAGCTGGGCCACAGGCTCTCGGCCACCTGAGAACAGAGAGGCCAGTGCAGGCCCTGCTGTGTCACTTGCAGTGTCCTGGCCTCACATGGGCTCTGAAGCCCTGCTGCAGGTGGGTGGCTGAGCATCATGGGTGCCTGGGGACTCCTGAGGGCTGTGGGGGCCAGAGATGCAGACGAACCCAACAGAGTGCCCTTCATCGTGCCAGGGTGGGGCAATGCCAGGTCTGATTTAGATCCTGCCACCCAGTGCCAGCTGCGGGTCCCTCGGGCCTCTCCTCATCTGTGCAAGGGACAAGCTCCATAGGAACGGTGTTGTTGTCCCCATGAGGGCTCGTGGTGCTGACCAGGCTGGCCCTGCCCCAGTGGACTGACCTGGCCCACCCTGCCCCAGGCAGAGCGATGGTGACAGGGTGGACCAGCCAGGGTGGCTGTGGCAGCGGGAGGAGCAGGGCCTCCTTGCTCTCTCAGTCCTGGTCCTCTGCCACCTTATCTGCCCTGGGGAAGACAAAGACCCAGTTAGAACGTCTCCGCAGGCCTCCTGGCGTATTTACACGTTATCTCTGCCATTAGGCAGCCACTTATCTGATCATCGAGCCCATTAAGGCCACAGCATGCCCGGTGGGGCTCCAGGAAGTGGGGCCACCACAGTGCTCCGGCCAGGCAACCCGCAAGGCCTCCGTGGGCCGTGGACCGCAACCCTGGTACCAGGCCAGGTTGGGGGGAGGCCTGCCAGGGGGTGTGGCCGCATGGGCGGATGCTCTGCCCCAGGACAGGGCCTGGGAGGCAGAGCCAAGGAGCAAGGCTGTGAGTGCCCCCTGGTTAGCTGGTGGCCAAGCACAGGTCAGGGTGTGACCTTCCCCAGCCCTGTCCCTCTTCTTGCAGCTTCTGTCCTCTTACAAAGACACTTGTTGCTGGATTCAGGGCCACCCACTAACCCAGGATGAGCCCTCTCCAATCCCTAACATAATTACATTTCAGAGATCTGTTTCCACCCCGCAGCGAAGCAGATCACGGGGCATCACTCAGCCCACTGTCCAGGTTCCAAGAACACAGTGGCCTGGGGCACACAGCGGGGCCGCCCGAGCCCCACAGCTAGGCAACACCCCCCCGTCTGTCCCCAGATGCCACACTCCCAGGGGGTGAGGGCTGGGCAGGAGGACTCTCCCTGTGGAAGGCGGCTGGGGTCCCCAAGCCAAATGCACTCCATCCTGCCTGTCTCTCCGCAGAGGAACTGGAACTGGAGCTACGGGATGGACAGAGGTGTGTGCAGGCCCGACTCAGCCTCCATGAGGGCCTGTCCTGGGGCCCCTTCCATGGGAGCATCCAGACCACAGCATCGTCACCCGGGCAGGCAGAACCGGTAAGAATGCTCAGCGCTACCACCGCTTGCAGGGCTGGGGCACGGGGCACAGGCTCGGCACTGGAACCCAAGGGCAGGAGTGCACTGCCAAGGAGCTGCTGCAGGGGAGGTTTAACTTCAGTGCTGAGTGGAGGCTGGGCTAGCAGGGGGCACCGGAGGGAACAGCAGGGAGCAATGGGAGGAGCCGCACCTCCCAGCCCAAGGGAGCAGTGGGGCTGGGTGGGCAGGACCTGTGGACCTGTGTGCAGGACCTGTGGACCTGTGTGCAGGACAGGAGCCCTGGGCTGGAGAAGCAGCTCACACAGCTGCAGCCGAGGGTGAGCTCCACCCACTGTGTCCTCGTGCTGATGCTGAGAAGGTGGCAGCGTTAGTAACCATGAGTGGGTAACATGGAGGCAGGAGAGGCTTGCACACAGTGAGTGTCTGAGAGACACAGCCTGGGCCTTGCAGAGCTCATTTGGGGCCGAGTGGTACGTCAGTCCCATCAAGCCCAGGTTCAGGGGCCACAACACACAGGTGAGGCCAGGTCTTGGCACTTTTTTTTTTGTCTTTTTGAGACAGGGTCTTGCTATGCAGTTCAGGCTGGCCTTGAGCTCACTTTATAGCCCAGACTGGTCTCGAACTCACAGTGCTCCTCCTGCCTCAGCCTCCCAAGTTCTGGGATTACAGGCATCCACCACCATGCCCAGTTAAGATCAAAAGAACTGAAAAGTCATCAGAACCCAGGAAGTTGTTTTTTGTTTTGTTTTGTTTTGTTTTGTTCTTTTTGTGCTGGGAATCAAACTGGGGACCTTGCACCTGCCCAGCAGGCGCTTATGCCGCTGAGCTATATCCCCATCCCCTATTGGCACTTTTTGATTTCCTGATATGGTGTTCAGGTGTGGCTTGATCCCGCCTATCCACATGGCTGGCCAGGGCCACATAGTGCTGGTTTCTTGGTCCTGAGGGCCTCAGTGCCTCCTCCAGTTAGGGCAGGGCTGTGCCTGTGGCAGCACTTCTCCACCTAAAGACTAGGTGCTGTGCTGGTAGCTCCACCCAGCACTAGCCTGAAGTTAGAGCCCTGTCTCCACCTGCAGCAGTGCCTGAGGGGATGGTGGAGAGCAGTGAGTGGGACACCCAGCTGCAGCATCCCCTGCAACCCTCTGCCGTGGGCAGGGCCTCCGATGGTGGAAGCCTGTGGGGGTGCAGTCACCCTGCCCACTGAGGCCCCTGGGCTGCCGACCCAGCTTTCCCCTAGGAGGCAGGAGGCTGGGCCAGGCCAGGGGCTTCTGCTTGTAGTCACCTCATCACCATGTCCCAGGCCGGTGCCTGCCCAGTCTGAGCCTTTGGGACCTGCAGCAGGACCTGGAGCCTGGGAGGAGGGGCAAGGCCACGAGCGTGTCCAGAAAGCAGGGCAGCCAGGTAGACTGAAGATCGGCCCTGCATGGCGTGGTCCTCAGCATGGCTGCAGGAAGGAGATCCCTGGCCGGTGAGGGGGCAGCACTGCGTTGGCACCACAGCGGAATGCCACATGGGCCTCCATGGGGACAGGCGGCAGCCAGCGTCCAGAGCTGGCTCTACAGGCAGGGAGCTCCCTGGTGCCCAAGAAGTGCGGGCGGCAGCAGGTGGCTCTCCTGGGAGGCTGAGATGCTGGTGGTTAGCTGGCTGAAAGGAGACAGCTATGCATGGATAGACTCCTGGCTCTGTCTCTGAACTCTCAAAGCATCAGCAAATCCCTTCCATGGTGACCAGCAGAGGCAGGCATGGTCAAAAACGGGGTAGTGCTTGTTTCGTGCCTCTCCCTGCTCACTCCCCCTGGGGCCACCAGCCCAGACCTGGATAGACAGGATTGTGCCTTGCATTTCATACCTTCCTGTCCTCAGGGTGGGTGCTGTTGCACCCATTTTGCAGATGCTGAGACTGAGGCTCTGAGAGATTCCAGGAGTTGCCAAGGCACCAGGATCACATCACAGAGGAAGAATTGGGGTCTGCATGTGCCCAACCCCAACACTGCTAGCTCCCTAATACAGGGCTGGGCTAGCACTTCCCAGAGCAGACACCAAGGCCCCCTCCCCACAGGCGCGCCCTCCATGGGTCTGGGCACAGGTCAGCTGGGAGACCACACTGGACTGAGACCCACCCCACCCCCAGGGGCACCGGGCCCAGAGTGCAGGGTGCGGCAAGCTACACAGGAAGCGGCCCCCTCCTCCTTGACCCACTATCTCCTGCAGAATTAAATCCTTGATTAACCCTTATCTCCCCGGGAGGCCCTATCTCCGCTTTGGCGCCGACTGTCCAGACACCATACCGATGATTGATCTCCGAAAGATACGTGCCTTTCCGATACTCCATTTATTGTCTAAATATTTTTGCTAGCGTCTCAGCGGGTGTCTTATCAGCTTGGCTGATGGGCCCCAGTTCTCTCTTCTGAATCGCCCTGAGGAAGACATCGCCGCCTGGCCCAGAGGGTCCTATCAGCCGCCAGGGCCGGGCGTCCTGCCTTTTCCCTGGAGGGAGGGACCATGTGGCCACCCTTTTCCTGTCTGGTCCTGGCTAGCAGGGTGAGCTGGGGAGGGGGTCTCCCCACACATTCCCTCATGCACACCCCCGGGAATCAGCGCCAAGAGGGAGCCTGAGGAGGCAGAGGTCTTGGTCTGACACCAACTTGCTGTCTCTTCTCTGATCCAACTGCGGGTTCCAGGCATGGGGGAGAGGACCCTTTCCAGCCAGCTCCAGAACTCACAGTCAGAGAGAGCAGGATGTGCATGGAATAGAGGCAAATGGGTGGATGGACAGATCAAAGGACGAGGAGCTGAGGGGTGACTGGGTGGGTGGAAGGTTGGAAGGAGGGGGCGAGTGGACAGATGCACAGAACAGTGGCTGATGGCAGATGATGGGTGGATGGTGAGTGTGGGCTGTGGGTGGGTGGGTGAGTGAATGGATAGGTGATGGGTGCATGAGCACTTGAGTGAGTTAGACAGATGTGGGTGGGTGGATGGATGGACACATCAACATGTAGATGGGTACGTGGATGGAGGGATGAGGGAGTGATGGGTGGTGAGCAAATGAGGCAGCTCTTTCACACGATCATAGCCCACGTTGGCCCTGCCCATCTGCCTGTCCACTTGTCCCTCACACTCTACTCCTGGCCCACCACAGCATCTGTGAGACCAGGGGAGGGCTCATGGCAGCCCAGCCCAAAAAGCCTCTGCTGACACAAGGATGGCTGTGGAGTGGCTTTCAGGTCAGCCCACTCGGCCCAAATGCAGGGAGCCCAGAGGACAGCACAGGGGTCACTAAGGTGGCAGAGCTCACACTGGGCAGGACACACCCTGGCCAGAGCCTCGCAGTGGGGCTGAGCAGCTGAGTCAGACCCCTCTGGAAGGGACAGGGCAGGGCCCGGAGCGCTGCTCCAGCTGCCCTGGCTTTGTGTCCACCTCCAGTGACTTCCCAGACACCCGGCACAAAATTGGAGCCCATCCTCTTCCTGCTGGAGGACTTGGTGTTCCCTGTGCACCTGGACTGTCCAGTCCTAGGACCAGCACAGCCCTATGGACCCTGCCGCCTCCTGCCTGGCCTTTGCAGGGCCAGGAACTGACCATGTGGCAGCACTTTCTGTGGCCATCAGCTGTCAGCCTCAATGTCCCACCAGACAGTGGCAGACTGCCAGCTGTCCCTGACACTGGGGCCTCCGAGCTCATCCACCTGGCATCTCACACACGACTTCATTCTGTCCCCATCCAGTGGCCACATATGACACTGCGCTGTGGGCAGGGCTGGTTGTGATGCACCAAGGCCTCTCTGCACCCCGGGCACCCTGGAGCTCCTCAGCATCCTCCTGTGGCTGCACTGCTCTCCATCTGCCCATCCTGCTCTACTGGGAGATGTGGCTAACTGCACACAGAGCAACCGTGCTGGCCCTCAGCAGGGTGGCCCGGAGGGCCAGGCAGGGAAGGACAGCAGAGGCCCTTCTGAGGTCCTATGCACTCTGTCTTCTTACAGCTGCAGGAACACCACAGGAGCTCAGGGAGACTTAGGCAAAGGGCCGGGGCACCCTCCCTGGGCAAGGGCCAGCCTAAGAGAGAGGGCTGGGGGGTTGGCACCAAGGAGCGCAGTCAGGGGCACAGGGCACACACACCCACACACCTGTGGCCTTCCCTCCAGGACCCAGGACAGTGCCTGGCCATTCCCCCAACACTAACAGCCCAGGCACACTGCCAGGGTGGGCCACGTCCCGGGCCCCAGCACAAAGCTGGCCCATGAGCGCCGTGCTGGGTGTTCAGTGCATGAAGGGAAAGCCTGGAGGATGCGCACAGCGCACACGGGGCAAGGCCTCTGAGGCGAGGACAGAGCCCAAGGCTGTGCACTGCAACAGGGAGGGCGCTCAGCAGAACTGGAGGACCGTGTGGACAGGAGGCAGCCCAGCCCTCCGTGTGCTTGCCGCTATGACCTGCACGTGCTGTGGCCATCTGTCCCAGCCCCTGGCCAGGGTACACAGAGAGGTTTGGAAGCAGCCTTGCAGAAGCCATCACGGCGGATGCGGAGCAGATAGGGTTTCTGATGGTTATCGCGCAGAGGCAAGACACTGACCTCTTTGTTGGGGGAAACGGGAGCAATCGCGGCGCCACAGGAGAATCTAAAGTGGCCGCGGGGCATCCTGGGCCAGGAGGGACAGGGACTCTGAGGGGCAGGGCACAGGGCGGGAAGGGGCCCTTCCCTGACCCTGACCACAACCCTGGCCACACTGATCCTGAGCCTGGGGCAGGGGAGGGGCAGCCGCAGCCTCAGTCTCCCACTGTTTGGGCAGCAGGCCCGGCCAGGGGTGCTCGGCTGCCCACACACAGGGCAGGGTCAGAGTGCCCACCTCAGCTGTGGCTTTGGCACTAGCCGGGGCTCTTGTTCCAGGGCTGCTTGGAAATGGGGCAGAATAGGCAGTGGGTGAAGGAAGAGCGTCAGCCAGCAGGGCGGCCACGGCATCCCGGGAAAGCTTGGCATCCTGGCAGAGGGCCTCAGCCCCCACTGCAGAAGGTCTGCCCTGGGCAACTTTGGGGTGTGGCTGCCTGGCCTGTCGTGGGCTGGCAGTGGGGAGCCTGGCACTATGGCAGGGAGATGGAGACCCAGCTCCTGCCCCTCCAGCCTGTTCTGCCCCAAGGGGGTGCCAGGCCCCTTCCCGGGTGCTGGGAGCCAGGGGACCTGGACAGGAGGCCAGGCACTGTCTGCGGCCTGACCTCCTCAGTGTCCTCGCGCCTCCCCACAGCACCGGGGCAGACTCGGCGATGCAGTAGACGCAGCCAGGCTGCTCTGCATAGGGCCCAGTGTCCCCCGGAGGACCGCTGTGCAGCGTCAGCAGAGTCTCCTGCGCGCTTTATCGTGCAGTGAACACGCTGCTTCCAAGGCCGATAAGCACTAAGCCGAGCAGGGGCTGTCAGTCATGGGTTGAGGGTTTAGGAATATTGGGACGAATAATTAGATTTCATATCGTTACCGTGGCACCCATCGAAGGATCAGGCAGATTAATTTTCTCACCCTTCACTCATTAATATTCATTAGTGACTCTGAAGGCTGAGGCAGGGAGGCCCAAGCCCAGCCACCTTTTGGAGCCACCTGTCCAGGTCAGGTCCCCAACCAGACTGCCAGGGCCAGCCCCCAGATCGCTCCAGCTGTGACCATGCAGCTACCCAACTGGACCACGAGCAAGTCAGAAGGCACACAGCCCCCACCTTACCCTGTGCCTGGAGGAGCCCCAGGTGCCTGTTAAAAGTGGCCCCTCCCGGAGTGCTGGGAGCCAGGGGACCTGGGCAGAGGCCAGGCACTGTCTGCAGCCTGACCTCCTCCGTGCCCTCCCGCCTCCCCACAGCACCGAGGGCAGACTCAGTGACGTGGCAGACGCGGCCAGGCCTCCATGCGCAGCCCAGCCCCAAGGCCCAGAGGCTCTGCCCTGGCCACCTGGTCCTGCTGGCCAAGGGGAAGTAAAGCAGCAGCCTGGCGGACAGTACTGCTGATGGACCAGGCCGGGGCGCCCAGCACTTCCCTCGTAGTCTGGGCTCCCCACATCCTGGGAGGAGACACTTGCTGAGATGGTCCAAGCCCCCACAGATGAGCAGTCCAGAGCTAGCGGGGACACGGCCCCCTTTCCCTCGCATAGCTCCTGTTTACAGAGGGCTGGCTTCTCTCTACTTCTCGCCCCATGACCAGGCACACGGTAGCAGGCAGGTGACGGCAGCCACCTAGCCACATTGCTCGTGCCTGCTACAGGTCTCATCTCATGGTCCCTGTGTGGTCACATGGAGGGGTCTGAAGGAGAGGTGCCTCCCCCGCTACATCAGGGCCAACTGCCACACACGTCCTGGGGTCACAGGCCAGGCACAGCGAGTGGCAGCCTTCCCAGGTGACAGTGGGCACCAGTTAGAGGTCGCAGTACACCAGGCTTCTGATTAAAAGCCATTCATCTGAAGGGAACAGAAAGTGAGAGGGCTGAAAGAAAAATGCCAAGCGTGGTGGCCCCTGGGTGGCCAAGACCAGGGAGCCCCAGGGAAGTGAATCCAGACCTGGGGGTCGGGAGAGGGGCTCACTTTCCCTCACACCAGGCTTCATCAGGCTGGGTCCACATGCATTTCCTGTGCCGGAGCTGGGGACTAGACGTGGGGCGCAGAAAGTGAGGCGGCCCCAGAGCTGATCCCAGCACGCTCTTCCACCAGTGCCAACTAAGCTGCAGAAGCTGGGCTCAGGCTTGCTGCCTCCCGAGCTGGCACCTCTATCCTCACCTGTGAGGTGGGGATGGACAGCAAGGCTGTGTGGGCACAGGGCTGACCCAACACGGTGCCACGGGTCTGGGTGCAGGGAGGGAACAAGGCAGGCCTGCCAGGAAACAGGGACACAGAAGCCTGGCTCGAGGGAGGCTGTGTCCAGGCTGCATCTGCACAGCTCGTCTGCTGCCAGCACACCCGTGACACAGGGTCAGCATGGAGGGGACACAGGTATAGCGTGGCTCCACCTGTACTGTGTGGCCTCTCAGGGCTGTGGCTGCCACGAGAACCCAGTGCCCACCACAAAAGCTGCCAGGACAAGAGTCACAGTCCCCTTGGCTTTCAGGCCTGTGACAGTCCCTAGCTAAGGCGCCTGCTCCTGCTGCTGCACTGTGCTGACCACTCCCTCCCCGATCCCAGGGCCCGGCCCTGACCCTGCTGCTCACTGACGAGGCATGCTGGCTGAGGACGCTGCCCCAGGCCCTGACCGAGGCCGACGCCAACTCGGAGATCTACAGGAAGGGTTGGTATCATGTGGCGCTTCCCCGTCCTGGCCTTCCGGAGGGCAGGGGTCACCAGCCCTGCTTGTGCTGGCCTTAAAGGGAAACCATGCTGTGAGGGGGGGGGGTCCCCAGGAGCCGCTCAGAACAGGAGGTGTTGGCCTCTGTCCATGACAGACCCTGCCACCTGCCTGCTCCAGGGGTGACCGCCCCCAAGGCCCAGCTGTGGATGCCGACTGGCCCAGGACAGGCCGTCAGCCGTGTCCATCAGCAGTGTCCTTTGCCAGCTGAGGGACAGGGGCAACACCCAGGCCAGCTGGGGCCTGCTTCTCACTGGGGAATGGAGGAAGTAGAGGCAGCACTGTGGCCCTGTGCCCACCAGGTCCCCTTGTACCTCCCCACCTCCCAGGACTGGGGAAGGGAAAGGGGTCCCCACAGCTCTTCCTGTCCAAAAAGCCCAAGCACAGTCCAGTGGGGCCTGGCCTGAGGATAGCAGGGCCCTCAGCTCCATAAGACTAGGCCAGCATTTTGCCTGTGTGCCTCAGTTTCCCCACCTGTTCAGCAGAGAGCACCCCTCCCTTTGCCCATTGGCCCAGACAGTAGGCAGGGCCCCTCCAGCTCTGGGAAGCCATGTGTTCCAGGACTCAGGGCCAGGGTGTTGGTGGCCAGTGGTCACAGTGGGCTTTCACGTCTGGTGGAGACATGGGCCACTGGCATGCCCAGCCCATCCAGACCACAGGCCCCCTAGAAAGATGAGTCCATTCATGCAGTTGCTAGTGAGGGTGGCCGGCTCTTGGAGAGACCAGGCAGTGCTGGGGACGTGGCGCTTTCTCAGGCCCGTGGCTCTGACAGGACCCATCTGTCAGCAGAGCCTCTTCCCTAGCACAGGGTCCAGGCAGGAGGCAGACCAGCTGTCCTGGGTTTTGCTGCCTTAGGCTGCCCCCTAGAGGCCACTGTGGGAACAGCCAAGCCTGACCCACTGAAACAGGATAAAGGGAACCAGGCAGGTGCCCCAGGGTACGCACGAGTACCCCACCACACCCCGGCATCCCCATACACGGTCAGGGTAGCACACTGCAGGAACCAGGCACCTGCCCTGCCTGGCCCTGGGCAGTCCTCCCCGGTAGTACAGACGGCTCAGACAGGGTGAGAGCCTAGAAAGGCAGGGGTCCGGCGTCGCCATCCCAGCACATGCCTGTCCCCGCCAGATGACAGCCTCTGGTGCAGGATAACCAGGCCGGTGCCCGCGGGCGAAGCCCTGTGTGTGCTCCTCACGGCCAAGCCCCAAGACGCCCCCAGTTGTCCTGTGAAGGAAGAGCCTGCGGAGCCCAAGAGCCCTGCCCTGATGCACCCCGACATCCAGCTGCTGCCCCAGCAGGCCGGCATGGCATCCATCCTCGCCACGGCAGTCATCAACAGTGAGTAGCGGCCACTGCGGCTGGGAGGGGGCTGCTGACAAGGGAGGGGCCGGCAGGTAGAGGCCTGGTTCCCCTCAAGCACCAAAAGTTAAAAAAGGTATTGCGCCCCCTGTAGGCCACTGAGTGGAGAAACAGAGCTGAGGCAGGAGCACTCTGCCCAAGAGGACAAGGGCCAGGCAGTGGGAGCTGAGCCAGGGACAGGAGGGTCCCCAGAACCCAGGTCACTACAGGACCCCAGCCAGTGGCCCAGGTCACCTCCCTGAGGCTGAGGAGCTGTAAGGACTGGACTCCCTCATCCTACACACACACACTCAGCACCCACTGTGCGTGGCAGGATGGGACGGTCCCACTGGCGTGACCTGAGGGAGCAGCCACTCCGAGGCCGGCAGCAGGGCACTCAGGCTGCCTGCATGGGAAGCGGGGTGTGGGCAAGGGCAGGGAAAGCAGCGGGGGCGGGGGGGCGGGCTGGGAGGAGGAAGCGTGCAGGCTGAGGCTATCTGCTCGGTCTCTGCCCTGGGGGTGGGCATCGAGGTCCAAGGGAGATGGGAGGCGAGAGGCCGGCATAGCCAACAGAAGCCAGGGTGGCTGGGGACAGGGTGCTGGTAGGGACAGAGGTCAGGGAGGGTCCCACAGTCCACTCATCTGTCCACCCCAGGGAGCCCAGCTTAGCCCCGCTGTGGTCTCAGGTTTGGGCATCCATGCCTCATCCCAGGCAGCGACGTCCCAGGCACATTGCACCCGACATGCAGCAGCCACCTCCCCTGGCCAGGGCTTCAGTCCTTACAGGGGGCGGGAGGGGACCCTGGCAGCCTGCTGGGGAACAGCAGACAAGAGGACGGCCCAGGCTGCTGCTGCTGTGTAGTAGAGGCTCAGGGCCCACACCAGAGAGGCTGGGGAAACACCACTCACCGTTCAGGTACAGCCTGGTGCCCTGGTCTCTACGGGGAACTGGCTTGACAGCCAGGTCAGGAACCCAGCCCCTGGTGCCAGCCAGTCATGGCCCCCCTGCCAACGCCTGCTGGCAGATACAGCAGAGTCTGGGACAGAGGCACACAGAACACTCATTGAAGTCCTGCTGTCCCGGAAGGCTGAGACAGGAGGGTGGCCATGAATTCAAGGCCAGCCTGGGCTACATAGTGAGTTTGAGGCCAGCCTGGGCTATAACATGAGACCCTGTCTCAAGTAACAAAAACAAAACAACATAAAATCCTGCTATAGACAAAGAACACACACCAGAGAAATCTTCATAGCCCTACGACGCAAGGCGGTCCAAATCCCCTGTACTCTAACCGTCAGAAGCATCGTTTGGGGTAAATTTGCCCAGTGAGCCACCTTGGCCATTCATGGTGCCACTGGACACACAAGTGGGCCAGGGACACTCTCCTAACTGCTGCTGCTCCTGTCCTTTCCCACGGTTCCCCGCTGCTCCTCGCCCACACACGTCTCACACTCCTCAGTGTCCACGAGCACACGTCCACTCTCCTTCCCTGGCCACCCAGCCACAAAGCCTCCTGAGGGCTCACTGTTAGGAGAGGCCATGGGGCAGGATGGGGCCACCCTGAGGTGGTGGATCCTGAGAACCCTCAGAGAGGTCAGTGTTACCCAACGACAGTCGGGAAGACAGAGGAGGACAGGCCCGGCTCCCCAAGGCCCGTCTGGCCAGGCCTGGTCTGCAGAGACCACTGCGTACCCTGCGCCTCCTTCCACACAGAGGACGTCTTCCCGTGCAAAGACTGTGGCATCTGGTACCGCAGTGAGCGCAACCTGCAAGCCCACCTCCTCTACTACTGCGCCAGCCGCCAGGGCGCCAGCTCCCCCGCCACAGCTGCCACAGAGGACAAGCCCAAGGAGCCGTACCCCAACGAGCGAATCTGCCCCTTCCCCCAGTGCCGCAAGAGTTGTCCCAGCGCCAGCTCCCTGGAGATCCACATGCGCAGCCACAGTGGTGAGCTACACACCTGCCCTGGGCCCCCTTGTCCTCAGCAGGAACCAACCACACACCCCCTGCAGAGGGGCTTGGTGCATCTCCGGCCCACCCATGACCCTCGCATGCCCGGAGAGGGTCCTAGGTCAAGGGCCAGGGCAGAGAGCCCTCCTGGCTAGTCAAGGCCCTGGGTGCAGCACCTGTCCTGGTCCCTGGGGTTGGGGGCCAGGGGGGCCCATGCCACAGATCCTTGTGTTCCAGGAGAGCGGCCCTTCGTGTGCCTCATCTGCCTGTCGGCCTTCACCACCAAGGCCAACTGCGAGCGTCACCTCAAGGTGCACACAGACACGCTCAGCGGTAGGTGGGTTGTGCGGGTGGGGGAGCACATGCAGCTCGGCCCCAGGGCCTTGACGGCCACACATGGCCCACAGGTGTCTGTCACAGCTGTGGCTTCATCTCCACCACTCGGGACATCCTCTATAGCCACCTGGTGACCAGCCATATGGTCTGCCAGCCCGGCTCCAAGGGTGAGATCTACTCGCCAGGCACGGCACACCCCGCTGCCAAACTGCCTGCAGGTGAGCAGCCAAAGGGTGCCTGGGCTGTGGAGTAAATGAGGACAGGCTGTCCGCAGGTGCCAGGCCTGAGGTGCCCCTGTGATCTCCCTGCAGACGTCCTCGCCAGCCTCCAGCAGCACGCGGCCCTGCACGGCCCCCTGCCCTCCGCGGACCTAGGCCCGGCAACCACCCCATCACCAGCCCCGGACAGGAAGGTCCTGGCCGAGGCCACCAATGGTGAGGCCAGGGCGGGCCCTCAGAACGGGAGCAGCGCTGAGCCCCCCGCGGCCCCCCGGAGCGTCAAGGTGGAGGCTGAGGAGGAGTCGGAGGCAGCGCGCGCGCCAGGCCAGGCCGAGCCTGCAACCCGCGGCCCGTCGCGGACGCCGTCTCCGCACAGCCCCGGTACGACCCGCGTGAAGGCCGAGCTGCCCAGTCCCACGCCCGGCGCCAGCCCCGCGCCCGGAGAGCTGGCCCTGGCCAGCACGCTCTTCCTGCCGCAGCTCGTGTTCGCGCCGGACGCGGGTGCCACCCCGGGCCCCGCGGCGCCCCAGGCCTCGGAGATCCTGGCCAAGATGTCGGAGCTGGTGCACAGCCGGCTGCAGCAGGGCGCGGGGCCGCCGGCCGCGCTGCTGGGGACCAAGGGCGCCACGTGCTTCGAGTGCGAGATCACCTTCAACAACGTCAACAACTTCTACGTGCACAAGCGCCTCTACTGCTCCGGCCGCCGCGCGCCCGAGGACGCGCCCGCCACGCGC